CATTTATCCCAAAATTTGCGAATTGCCCAGCGATTTAACAACACACCGTCCGTTGCCCCATCAGTCGCCATCAGACGCATGTCGACGTCAGATCTGTGTCAAATTTTCTCTGCCTGTTCTTATTTTATTCATATTAAATTACGGGACGCGTGAGGCGACCTGTGTCACCTCACCTCCTAAAAATCTACACTCGCGTTGAAATATCCGCCTTACGTAGATATTACTTATCGACCGACCTCTTGGTATCAGAAAAGTTTATCGTACATTTAATTATTTTCTTATTATTTAAAATGATCACCAATCTGCTCCTCTTCGTGACGTTGCATATTACGTACAATTTCAATCAACTTAAAAATAATAAATAGGCCTGAATTGTTACGAATCCCACAGTGCGTAGTTTGCGTACGTAATGGAAGGATCTGGGTCACAGTGGACACACTTTTACGCTAATTTGTCACCGTGTACGAACGACAAACAAAGTGGTTACTGGAGCAGGAAGTTAAAGTTCAAATCATTCTTTAATGATGTCTCAAATCGGGATACGAGGTAAATCATCAGTGATTATTGATATTGTTATGCATTAGATGTTTTGTTGCGATTTATTTGTTTCAAAGTGGTAATAATAACCTATACAAATGCTCATCAGAAATGAGTAAAGTGAAATAGTGACGGTACGAGGATCATCATCACGCTGTAAATCACGCATTCATAGGCTACATTTTTGTATATAGTTCTTAAATGATACAATACACGTTCACTCGACGCTACTGAAATAATCGTCTATTCACAAAGTTACTTTAAATTAAGCTTTTGTGCTGTTTATTTGTGATTTGCTGTGGGCGGGTGATATTGGTGACATCAGCATTATTGGACTGGAATTTTAAACAGGATTTATACGGTAATTTTATATGAAAATAAGACTTTATTTTACTTTGCTTCTCTGTATGATAAACTACTGAATGACTAGTTGCAAACAATCCGCGATATCTTATGGAGAGAAAAAATCTAACTTTCCAAGTTATATTTAATTTCTTTCGTTGGTCACGGGTGAATGCTTATACCAGTATCTAAAATTACCTATTACCTACAAGCATACATATTACTTGCTACTACACTAGTTATTATCCGTTGTGGGAAAATAATAAACATAAGGGTAAACAAACAACACTGTGTGCATAATTCGTTTTATCCATCGATGTTTTATCAGAAATAATTTGCACACAATGTTTAGAACGACAATGTTCCGCCTGTCGCCCTTCGTATGGGAACAGTCACTAGTTCCAACAAGAATGGGTTTTTTTAATGTATGGAAGATATTGTAGATATGTAACCTTCTAAATCATTAAATAGTGCACTTAAAAAATGTTGATTACCCAAGAAATTGTAACGATATCTTTACACCAATGTAATACGCAATTAAGAATTGTGTTTAACGGAATCTATATGCTAAATGTAAATTGTAGATTTGTTTCACCGCAATTCTTTTAAGTTTTTTGTTTTTTATTTGTTTTTTTTTTGTTTAAAACTTAAATTGTTTGTATAATTAAAATCTGTAGATGATTATTGGCTTTACTGTATTGTATAGCTATTAGATAACCCCACTTTCGGTACGTCCAAATTAAAAACATCGTAAAAACGGAAATCATGACTACATTAAACTTTATACCAAAACCGGCACAATATTTTAATATATTATAAAAATTATAAAAAAAATTATAAAAGTAATATAACAAAAATATCAAAATAATAAAACAATTGACACGAACAGATGACTCAATATTTGGCCTAGAAAAACAAAACATTTGTATGCAAAGAAAAAACATCTGCACTTATGTCATCTCACTTGGCACTCGGCAGGTGTTTCCTATGAAACGGAAATACGAAGATTGAGCACATGTTAAAAACGTTTTGATTAGAAATTTGTGTGACAAAACTAAACTCGATCCTGAGCAAAAATTTCCTACACTGTCTTCCAAACGACGTACTGAACTCGATGAAAATGTATACTTTATCGTAAGTGTAATAACTGAGTACTTACTAAACTATAAATTAAAATATAAAATACGTCATCGTAAAACGAAACGAACATCCCTTAGAATATTAATCAATTTTTTTCTGATAGGTTCTATCTACTTAATCGTCTTACACTACTGTGAGCTTTCATTCCGAATACTTAATTAGCATATATCGTTCCTTTCCAGAGTAACTTACGTAATTAGCATTGGGAAAAGACTAAAACATTTTCGATTTAGTACTTTACATATAGTAGCAGTAGAGCTCCTTGTGAAAGAGTTCGTCCAGGGAAGTACTGCCTTATCTACCTTACCTATTTCTGCCGCCAAGCAGTAATGTGAGCATTATTGCGTTCCTGTTTTGAAGGTAAGGGTGCTGGTGAAATTACGGGCACATGGGACTTGTCAACTTATGTCTCAGGGTGACAGGCGCAGTGGCAGTATCCCGCAGATCTGTGCAATTTAAAGCATTGAGTGGCACTGCAACTGCTATGAACAGGCGTATCGCTTAACACTGGGCAAACGACTTGTTCACCTCATCACTTGTTGTCATGCAAAAAATATAAATAAATAACACACCCTCATAGTCTTATAGCATGGTACCTGCGATATAGCGTAACACTGTATCGCAGGTGCCATGGACACACAGATAAGTAGTCAACCACAAATTACACCTAAACTCACGAGAGAAATAAATGTAGGCCATACAAATATTTCTCCCGGCCAGGGAATCGAACCTGGGACCTTTGCGTGGCAGTCAGGCTTTCGGCCATGGAGACAGTTTATATATATAATATCTCGCACTGCTATTACAATAGTGTTGTAACTAAAAATATGTGAAAATGAAGATTGTATCACAGTTAAACGTAAAATAAAATCGTCTTTAGAATATTGTAAAAAAACAATTGAAATACATATATTTACTTAACTCAAAATGAGACAAATTTTACGAGAGCTAGTTCTGGCCAAAACAGTTCTTACGCAAAAGTATAAAATTATTTTTCCCTTTTATTTAATTTACATATATTTGGCAAGTAGGAAATAAATTAGATGTCTGTAATAAACTTTAACCTATACATAAATTTTAATGATCTTTCACGGGAAGTAAGTAATTCGTTTTTCATAGATTCTGAAAAAATACACTTTTTGAGTTAATACACTATTGTATCAACAGTGCGATGTATACATATCAATTGTAGATTTATTACAATAAGTGCAGCATGTTCATTTCTGAAAATTGAGGAAGAATGCAAGTCTCACTTTGATACAACAAAGTACGAGTTCGGCTGTTAGTAAGAATAGGGATGATGTATGTAAAAAATAGAACTTTGTTTCCGAATATGTAATTTAATACTATGATGAAATAATTTTAGACCCCTATTTACGTACCTACCTACCCAAAACATAATTTCAATATACCCAAGACGAAAAGCTAAATACTGCCTTACTACCAAGTAAGTATGCAATTGAAAAATAACATATTCAAAATTGTAGTAAAAAAAACATCATTACCAATAACAAAATGTTAAATGTTTCGGTCACGATCGCAATTCCAATTCGACTGTTGCAAAGATCCTCAGAAATCGGCTGGTCTTTGTTCCTGAAACAATCGCAAGCTCGTAAGAATGTGTATAGTAGAGCTATAAGTGAGTATCGGATGAGGACCGATTCTCGGGAACTGCCGCTGTGTTTACCGCTACAAACCAATATTGACATTTGCTTTGTCCACTAACAGGCAGCTAATCCCTTTGTGTGGTGCGCTTTTGTAATGTTAAATTAAACTTCTTTGATTTTAATTCTGAGAGCTGCCGTTGGATTCTATTCTATTCTAGGATTGTTATTGTTCCCGAGCTGGTATTCTTCGTTTGGATTCGTTTTGTTTTGTTTTTTATGATACCAAGTGGCAAGAGAGTCGTGCGCCTGATGGTTATTCAATTTATTGCTTCACGTAAAGTTTACAAAGGTCTTAAATAACATATAGGTCCTTAACTATTGCAGTGCCACTCAGAAAAAGAACACTGCGCCTGTCACCCCGAGACATAAGTGGACAAGCTCCATGTGCCTGTAATTTCACCAGCACCCTTACCCTTCCAAACCGGAATACAATAATGCTTACATTACTGCTTGGCGACAGAAATAGGTAAGGTGGCAGTACTTTCCTAGACAAACTCTTACATACGGAGCTCTACTGCTACTAAAACTTTTTCACTAGATGTAAATTCTACGCCGATGGTTCGTCTACGGTGTAAGTATATTGTATTGTTTGGACATTTAGGTTACCTTATTTAACAAAAACCACATGCATAAATGTCACACGTGACACTCGGACTAACCTATCAGAGGTTAGCCCACACATGGCTGATGGGTTGTTTCGGCGCCGTCGCAGCTGGGCTGGGCCGGTCCACTTTCGTGCAGTTTGTGTGCCAACCGCCAGCGCCATGCAATGTTGCACCGCAAGATTCTACGCGGTACATCACACAGATATTGCTAGAAAGCGTCCTAGACGAATCATGTCTCTGGGACACGAGGAACTTTGTAATGAAATATAGGGAGAAATCGATTCACTCGCTTTTACAACGTACCTAAACAGCAAACGCTCTTCATAATTTTATTGAAATTATGGAAAGTTTCGCAAATGAATCAATCTATTTATGACTATAAGCTATGGAATACTCAAGATTTTCTATCAGGCTAATAGTACCGTAATATTGAGATCGGTTTAATTACTCACAATTTTATAGCAATTATTTTCAAAGTCAAAGTTTGCAGAAAATTTGTAGTTCAACATCTGTCACTTACAAAACTATAACACTATTGGTTGCTCCGTTTTATATCTACATTTTTTTGCTTATACACTTTTCATATCGACCCAACTCTGTAGATAACAGTAAGATATTACATATTAACAGTAAGCAAAACGGATGGTCTTAAATCACTGTACATATTTAAGCCTTTTGATGAGTACTATATCCAACTTCCTGGTTGCAGGTCTGCGCACACGCCGGGGTCTGTTCGCCCGCTATAATGTGACCGGCGCACGACGAGCGTCTTCTTTCAAGGTAAGCTTGTTTTAATAACTTTCCTTCAGATAGGGCAAGGTCCACTCAGTACGAGGGTTATGGACCTTTGAGACAGAAAACTTTTGATTTTACAGGTGTGTGTTACCATCGTTGTTTGCATACGTGTAGGTGCCAATTTATCATAACATTTTATCTAATTGGATGTTAATATAAACCGGAATCCACATGCACGTGTTGATTGTACCTACTAAGACTAAAACTGACGATTCTAATTAATAGGTCAAACTTTGCTTTTAGCTTTTTGCGCCAAGGATACGTATAGAGGTTTTCCGAGAGCAACAAAAATATACTCAAGGTCCACTGTAAATGTTCAATCTTACTGTTCCCCAATGTATTAAATATCTGTACTTTTTACACCCTTTTTGGTGAGTCCTCATTGTAGAAGTAGTTTGGTTTCATGTTAAAAGATTATTGCCAAACGATTATTTTGTAACGAAAAAATAATATTACTTTTTATTATATTTACGAATTTAAAGTTATATTTTTTTAAACAATAATAATAATATGTTTATTTTACATCATAAATTGAAATAGCAGTATGACTAAATTTCGAAGTGCAAGCTTACGCTAAATTGGCATTATGTTTTAACATTTATATGTATTGCGAACGCGATTTCATGCCTGAAAGCATTGTGCATAGTTACAGTTGGTCCCACACAAGGCAGAGCCTGTCCTGTGGCGACCCTTTTACGAAGGCAAATTCAGCAAATTATTTCAGCAAATTATTTCGTCAAAGAATAAAATATATGATTGTTTTAATATTAATAACAATATTATTTATCTATTTAGTCTAATATAAATAAGAGAAACAAAAAAAACGCAGAATGGAAATTAGAATATGGTGAAATAAAATGTAATTAATTAAAACAATTGAGAAAGTTATATATTGCTCGTGTTGTCTATTATCAATATCATGAATGTAATCTCCAGCTAAAATATATCTGGACCTTATTACAGCGTGTATGTATATGTAGGTATGTACATTGTTGTATGTTTATTAAGAAACGTTAGGCCCTGTTTACATGTAGTTCCGTGTGCAACCTGAAACCATTTAGTAGAGAGATACAGAATAGCAGTAAATACCGTAAAACGTGCCTAATATTATACCTAACTAGTTTCATCCGTTATCTATGTATTTGAACATATCTTCTTTTGGAGTGGAGTGGAGTGAGCACAACATGTATTTTTCTTCCATACCCAAGTGGGTAGGGCTGATGGGGATCAGCCGTTATTTCCACACTTATACCTTTCTTATCCATGTCATTTTCTGTCTCCTTAGTCTTTTCTTTGGCCTTCCCTTATATCCCTCCATATTCATACCTAACTCTCTTCTCGTCACATGACATTCTCCCTCTACATGACATGTCCATACGACGCTAACCTATTACTTGTCATCTTTTCGGTCACTAGCGCCACTTTCAAACTTCACCTTATGTACATAAGGTGAAGTTTGAAAGTGGCGCTAGTGATCAGTGGTCATTCTTTATCATATCCTTTTTCGTCACTCCACACATCCATCTCAACATTCGCATATTCGTATTTGAACATATAATGACCCAATATTTTTTTTAATTATAAGCAATTTTTAAAGACTTTTTAATGTAAGTAGATATTAATGATATAGGTTTGTTGGTTATGGTTTTAAATGACAGGACGAACAAGTCGCCACCAGGCGGTGGTCAGCGATACGCTTGTCCATAACAGTTGCAGTGCCGCTCAAAGCTGTAACTCGCCATGATCTGAGGGACACCATCACTGCGCCTGTCGCCCTAAGATATAAGTTATATATCCACCTTTTCTCTCAACTCATTAATGGATCGAGATTAACATGAACTACAACTCAAGAAATGTAAATATAATAAAATACCTTAAAAGGTTTGTGTGATAAGGTTAAAAAAAGCAAGCTTGAAAATAGCATTTTCAACTTTTCTTCTGTATTATGCTTGTTTAGCAAAAAACAAAAAAATCAGTGAAGTCGCTTAATCCGACAAGATAAGCCCATTACTAAAACAAGACTCGTGTTCAGGTAACCTTTAAAGGCGAATGCTTCTGCAAAGTGGACACTTGCATCTGCATTGTGTCGTGTAAAGCATGAATTGTACAATAATACCTACACTAGCGTTAGTGTTATATTGTTTTAAGTTTCTTACGCATATCACAGTATTTGAAATTGTTTCTGATTTGTAAGAAATTTTAAAATGCACACAGAGTTTTATTGAAAAAAAAAAACTTAGGATGCCAATTCAAAACTTATTTATGTTTGTGAGATGCAAGAGGTTTTGATGAATTAAATTCATACGAACCTTCACTCAGAGAATTAGTAAAAACTGCCTGTAGATACCTACTTGTGCCAAATTGTATGTACATCAAAAGCTTTTGCAACGACAGGAAAATGCAGACGCAGCCGCCTCGACCGTGAGACCCAGACGCTATATATTTTATTATTCACTAACGAAAACTGTCCACCGCTTCCGCTCAAGCTTCCCTTCCAAAAATACGAGACGTATTCCGAACGCATTCGTCTCGGAACGATGCGTGCGATTTCGTATTCGCACGCTCATTACCGACGTCCGCTTAGAAACATCCGTTTAACAGAGCACGAAATGATCGGGCCCTTAAAAATCCTTTGCTCCATAATATTGTGTTTGTGTTCAAGTTTAAGTTGCAAAGTCATTTTGACATTGCGTATCATGCATAAACCATGAAAGCAAAAGATTATGACAAGCCGAAGTAAACGCATGTGATGCTGACGAATTTAGGCTAAAGTGTACACGTGTTTTACCACAAGTTTATGGGCCATTGGAACTGAACCATTTGCGGTTGAAAGGAGGAGAACACCAAAACTTATCCTTGAAAGGAATCCAGATACTACATAATAACGCGTTGTACATTTCATTAACAACTTCTTCTAACCGCATAGCCAAATTAGTACGGACTCATCAAAAAATCAGTAACAATCTACATACTTTGTCAGTATTACTCGAAAATGCCCCAAATCGAGGCGAACAACATGTAAAGGAGATGATTTTTTTATAAATAGCCATCGTCGGGTGACTCCAAACGTAGAGGCCGTCTCGTACTACGCCTTATGTTTGTCTGCTCGTTTCTTTTTGGACATTGACGCGACACGTATGTTGCCAGAAGTTATAAATGTACTTACGATATAAAATTAAATCATGACATAGATAGATTTGACATAATATATGTAACAAAGATAGAACATGCTTCGGAATACGCGTACCTACGGTACAGTTGGATTTACATCAATCACCCAGAATGGACGTTTATTGTTGGCAAACACTTCGAAGTTGTAGAAAATATATATGAAACGTCACCCAAACATAAATCAGATAATCGGAATTAATCTTTTTTGAAATCATCTCTACCTATGCATCTCTACTTTACACGTTAAGTATTTTAAAGCACCAGCTTTAGAAAAAGAATGGAGATGTTAGTGAAAATGAGGAATGATAGTGAAATGTCATCGAGGTACAATCAGTAGGTCGCCACTCGAACGACACTCTTGCTCACGAGAGTTATAACCACTTGTATCCGATATAAAACATTGCTATTATTTTCTTTAACCATCATCAGATGGCGAAACAATTTAAATGTCTTATTTATTTTAAACATGTGTATATTGTACTCTATTTAATGGAATCGTATTATATTTTAAGAACTGGTGACTATACCAACTAATATCAAATTAAGTTCAACTAAAATGGCCTATATTAAATATAAATATCATATGCCTACTTAAAGAATTACTAGCAGTTGTACCTACTTATAATTATGTAGAGAACTTGCTAATATTATATTATGTATGTGAAGAATATGCAACAAAATAAATATTTTTTAACTCTTTGTTTATTTAGGGGCTTTGATCATTATTGAACGTGTCAGCCCCATTATAAAAACGATATATCAAGAAAACGCTTAATAAAATCCACTACATGTTGGCTGCGTCAATACGAATTGAAACCACCCAACATTAAACATAAGGAAACCAACCTGATAGGTTCAAAAAAGGTAAGATCAGAAAAACTGAAAAACACAAATAATAATAAATAAAAAAAAAACAATCTTTTTATTCTACATGTTATTACGTACCACGCATACTTTCTATCATATTGAAATTGGTTGCTCTTCATAAAATCTTCAATACCGAGTCCATTTCTAAAGTATCAAGTTTCATTCCACGATTCGATATTCTTGTGTTTTTTATCATCACGCGAACATAGAGGCTATACAGTTGTGCGTAGACTACAAAGAACTAAACCTTTTTAGTTAGTGTAGTTAAGTTATAGTGAATAAAATAAATATAATGCCAGTGTCAATGACTATGAACACATGAACAAAGTATCTTCCCCTTAAAATTAAACAAAATATCTTTTAATTTTAATTAATATTAAAAGATATTTTGTCCATGGACAATTTCTTTAAATTAGTTACTTTTATTTAAGGTAATTATGTTAACCTAAAATTGCTTACTAGTCTTGTAAAAAGGCTAGATTGCAATTAGCTACTTAATCAACTTTTGTTTTGCTTTAAAATAAATTTAAAAAGATGTTCTTGTTTCTTCGTAAAGATTGACAGTTAGTTGATTGATAAGGTATTCAACTTCACCTGCACGCGGTATCCCCTGCCGATCAACGAACGAAGCTCTGACGCAAAACTCGCCACGACGCACTGGCCAGCGCGGTGTTTTATTGCTAAACCCCCATCGATATGATTGAGTTAGCACTCAGCGTATTAGCGTATTAGCATACGCTACGACCTTCAGTCCCCAGAGGGTGCGAAGTATCGCTGGAAGATGCCCAGCTGCCAAACCCGAACGACCCTGACCTCGGCGTGCAGTAACGTCAAGACGATTCGCACAGAAAACCGATTATTTGAGTTACAGTTAGAGTTGGAAAAGATTAAATGGGATATCCTAGGACTCTCAGAGGTGAGACGAGCTGGTGAAGAGCTGATGAAGCTACCCTTAGGTGATTTATTCTTTTACAGGGGCCATGACAATTCTTGATTCTTTGGAGGTGTTGGATTTCTTGTGTCTGAAAACATCGCACATCAAATTGTTGATGTTGTGAGTATATCCACTCGCGTTTGCTACTTAGTAGTACAGTTAAACAAACGATACTTCATCAAGGTAATCCAGGCGTACGCCCCAACATCCCTCAGACCAGACGAGGAAGTGGAAGAGTTGTATGACGGCATAGGAAAAGCGTTAGCTTACACATCATGCCATTATACCACCATTATCGGCGATTTCAATGGAAAATTGGCAAGCCTCTTGTAAATGAAAGGTCGGTAGGTGACTTTGGTCTCGGCATACTTAATAGCAGAGGTCAGATCCTAGTCAACTTCCTAGAAATGAATGGGCTCTATGTCATGAACACCTTCTTCCAGAAGCGAGAAACGAGAAAATGGATTTGGGTACATCCTGGTGGGACAATGCGGAACGAAATTGACTACGTAATAAGTTCCCACAAACATGTGGTCACAGATGTCTCTGTTCTCTCAAGCTTCAAAGCTGGGAGCGACCATCGATTGGTTAGAGCTAGGTTGAGATTCGATTTCAACAGCGAAAGGACTAAGATGATCAAAACAACATCAAAAAGAGACCAAGATTCCTTCCAAATAGATCTCAAAAACAGATTCGAATGTATTGATGAATTGAACCTTGACGTGGATCACATCAACTAGCTGTTGTGCAGGACTATTAACGAGATAGCGAAAACACACTTGGGAACCGCTCGTCAGAATATTATAATATTTATCCATAAACTTACAAAGGAAACCCTTGATCTTTTAGGAAACAGAAACCAACTGCTTAACCAATCTGCTTCAGACAAAAAGCAGCTAGATAAAATTCATAAATTAATTAATAAGTCCATTAGACGACACGACATTCCAGCACGACATTAGACCGTTTAACACTAATGTTATTATAGACACAATTAAACAGTTTAAAGGCCCTAAAGTATTTCGTAGAATAACTAATTCTGAAGCAAAACAAATTTCAAAACTTAGAGATAACAATTTAGTAGCTGACCGGGCAAAAATTCTTCATCGAGGACTTTTACAGGAGCTTATATGCATCGCAGAACCGGATTTAACAGGGCACGATTCCCGGGCTCCGTCTACACTTTGCCACGGAAAACTTGCTCTATCCAAAATGAAGACTGATAAATCCCCTCGACATGATGATGTTTCAGTCGAACTACTCAAACCAGGAGGAGTCCTGTGATAAAAGTGCTTGTGAAACTTTTCAACAAAGTTCCTCATGAAGCTCATACACCAGAGCAGTGGAAAAATGCCATTGTCACCATCATCCACAAAAAAGGCGACATTGCAAACTTAGTAATTATCGGCCAATTAGCTTGCTCTCTCAGGTTTATAAACTTTTTACAAAGATTGTGACCATCCGACTTACCCATGAGCTTGACGAAGCGCGACCTATTGGGCAGGCTGGCTTTCGAAGCGGCTTCTCAACCATCGACCATATGTACACGATTAATCAGCTGATGGAGAAGTGTCACGAATTCAACCGGCCCCATGTCATGGTCTTCGTCGGTTCGAGAATGCCTTCGACATTGTCGAACATTGGGCCGTGATTTACGCTCTTCATCGCTGCCACATCTATTCCCGCAACGTGGATGTGCTCCGGGAGCTCTACCGTTCAGCCACTCTGCAGGTACGAGTTCACGATTTAACCAATTCCGTTCCAATCCAGCGAGAAGTGAGACAAGGAGATACCATTTCCCCAAAACTATTCACAGCAGCACTTGAGGATGTCGTAAAAACCCTTAAATAGGATAACCATGGCATTAACATCAATGGTGTCCATTTGTCTCACCTAAGATTCGCCAACGATCTCGTGCTATTTGCAGAAAGTTGCGACGATCTCCAAAAGATCAGGCGGATTTCTTTGACAGTTGGCCTAAGGATGAATATGTCCAAGACGAAGATTATGGCGAACCTCTCCAATCCCTTAAATACCACTGTCACGGTAGGAAACGAGAGGCTGGAGAGAGTCGATCAGTACGTTTATCTCGGACATGTTCTATACTTTGTCAAAGAGTATCAGCCCACAGAGATCTCAAAAAGAATCCAGCTGGAATGGACTGCGTTTAGCAAGTTAGATGACATCCTTAAATCAGATAAAGTTCCACAGTGTCTGAAGACCCGCTTGTTTAATCAGTGTGTTCTGCTCACCATGATGTATGGTGCCGAGACTGTATACAGATTGAGAGTAGTATCAGAGGGCCATGGAGCGCGCCATTCTCGGCATCTGCCTTGTACACCGAGTTCCGCACATTGAGGTCCGACGACGGACGAAAGCCCAGGATGGTGGACCTCAGAACTCAAATGGGGCTGGGCGGGACACCTAGCAAGGCAAGGTGATGACAGGTGGAGCAAGACATCGACTGATTGGTGGCCGAGGATGGGCAAAAGAAGCGTCGGGCGCCCTGTTGCAAGGTGGGTCGACGACTTAGAACGCGCCGCGGGGCGTCAATGGAAGCGGCTAGCACCGGACCGTGGTGAATGGCACAAACTTCGGGAGGCCTATACCCACCAGTGGGTGGAATCAGCCTGTGAATGATGATGATGATGATGGTTGTTATGGTAGGGTGATCCGATAAAGTGCATACTATTATCAGACAAGTACTGAATATGTAGGTTCTTGTACACACAACCAATCCAACATAAAAATTGCGACGTAAATGTGATCTCGTTCAATTAACTGTATACATGTTGAATTTGTTTTATTAATTAAGTCAGTTGTCGGTAACTTTCGGTGAAACATTTTAAATACTACCTTTATTAAATGATTATAATCCTATTAATGGACTCGTACGTCTTTTATTTGCGAGACAATTTATATTTTAATTTATAAGAGACAATATTATATATATATATATATATATATATATGTATGTATATATATATATATATATGTATGTGTATATATATATATATATATATATATATACAGTATAATTTACACACGAGTAGTACTTTGAAAAGGAACTATCAAGGTAATTTGTCAACGTTACGATATCCTTAAGAGCCACACTTAAAATATTAAGGTCCTTTAAAGTTCTATATCTAAATATCCCTTTAAAGACGTCTTTGTTTATGTTTCACGTCGACATTAAAACCCATAGGAACATTACGCTCATTAGTATTTATTAGTCGTCAGCGACACGTTTGCAGTGACGCGGGCGCAGCGGAGATTAACACCGAAACAGTTTTAACGGTGATTTAGAGGTGTCAAATTCCTTTTTTTTTTTAAACAATGGGAGCCGCGTTTAAGGAAACAAAAGAATGACGATTAGCGTTCTCGAAACATTTCAGGGGGGCCTACTGTCGACTCCGTCCGACATCCGTCCGAAACAATTACTGCCAAATAAGCAATACTTGACCAAATGAAAAGCTTCATACTGGATACTTGTCTTTTAATTTTGTCGAATATTACTTATTTGACAGTAATTGTTTCGGACGGATGTCGGACGGAGATCGAGAGTAGCCCCCCAGTTACAAAACGCCTTCTATCAGAGAATCTACATAAATGAACTTTATCACTTTCACACGTCTCATCGTCATTGAGAGATTTTCAGAAGAGATGACATATTTACTAACTATCAAAATAAAAACACAATTCCGTGAGACACTCGTAGTTTGTTTCATAGAATTTATCACGAATATAATTATGTGCGTATCTCATATCACAATGGTGGGCTTCTATTGATGTATGAAAGGAAAAACAAAAGTGACTGAGCAATATAACAATGACTAATGCTACACATTATACTCGCACAAGTCTTGGTAAAAATATTGTTAATAGAATTGCGATTAGTGTTAAATTTCCCACTTAATTTATCGATGAAGAATTAACACCCGGAAATCAATGACAAGAAAGATTCACGTCTTTCTTGTGCCCGCAAACCTCACAAAGCCAGTGTGATTTGTATACCTACATGTTATCAATGTCCGTAGAAAATTTTATAGGTTGACATTGTATCGTAATGATAACCTAAATTTTGTAATCCCCACGTCATGCGTCACTTGACACCCAACCAGCGTACGCACATCGAGTTAAGGCATCGAGCAGTTACCTAATATGCAAATTTGGCCGACGACATCGCGGCCGCGGCCGGCCAGTTAGCGGGCAACACTTTCTACCAACTACCATTACCATACAATGGACATTAATGGCCATCAACCGCAATACATGAACTTTTTAACTAGAAGTGGTGGTAAACAATTGTTGTTGGCTATGGCGAATTGACTATTGGCCGATTCCCTTGAAATTAAAAAGGTACAGGTACGTGGATAGTTACATTATCCAGTTGATAACTCTTTTATAAATGACCCATGAAAATTACACGTTCTGTGTATTATACGTACTTTAAATGTAACACATTACTTCGAAATTGCAAACATAACTGCAAAAAAATTGTTTTATATTAGTATAGTATTTTACTAAAATTGAAAAGCTCGTAACTCCGTTTTTGCACATCACTTTTTTACTTTTCAAGCGCAATATTGGACAATTAAAGATAAATATATAATTTGTAGCCCTTTTTAATTATAAAATAAAGTTGTAACCATAGATTGGCATATAATTATTGCTAGTAATTGTGTTTTTTGTGCTACTCAAAAGTTCATGAATGTAATGGAAGTTACGACGTTTACGAATTTAGCCGACGGTATGTTGTCACGTCATATGGAATGTAGGAAGCACTTTAGTACATAATACACCTCGATATTAAGAAACCGTGAAAACGAGTAATAAAAAGGTTTTATGTACCAAGTAAGTTATTCCAAAAATATTACAAATTATAATGCACTCGTTTTGTCCTAGCCTCATAAATTTACGTATCAAACTTTAATGAAGCCCACCTGCCAGCCCTTGAGAGGGTGCGATGAGTATAATGTAGTTCAAGCGTGACTATAGAAAGTTAGGAAGCACACTTCCCCTCTATTATAGCATTCACGTATTCGAATTAATTAAAGGAAGTATTCCTGCATAAACACAGGGAACACGCGGATATTTTCAAAAGACTATGTATTACTCTACAGTAACCATAGTAAAATTATAAGTCCACCATAGAAAAATTAAATGAAACGCCACTACTGTTAAATTTTGAATTGAATAGGAATTGAAATTCCACATATAGGATAAATATTGTTTAAGTAATAAGTCTGGATCGGTCCCTTAACGTAAATATTCCCAGTGTTCAGTTCTATACTTCGCATTTCTAGATTTAATATATCTAGAAAAGGATTTTATTAAGTAATTAGAGCTGTTGCTGTTTTTGTATGCACATCACTCACGTGACAACAAAGGTTTATTTAAGTGCCTATACTTGATTAAGGACGCTCTTATCTCCGAATGCTTTAGAAAACTTTTAAGCAGTGTATGCAACGCCGACTGTTCCAAGAAGTACTCAACTCGAGTTCAAACTGGAAAGCTATTTATGAGCAACCCTGCGCGGGCGCTCCTCTTTTCCGCAACGACGTCTCTCTCTCGCATACATGTCAAGGTAGGGTTCAACATTCGAGGATTCGGTACGTGCAGATAATAATACATCCAGCGGAATACCCGACGGCGTCTGCTTTATGTAAACAAATGATCTCATTAGGTCAGACGGGTGTAAGAGTTCGAGGCTCTTATGCAGCGGAACATACTTAAAACGGCTCTGAAGGGTAAAGATCTCAAGTTACTACATTGAGGTAACATTCCACTTTCTAATCCTTTTGCGCTAGTGACTGTTTATGAAGCTACCTTCCAATCAAGGCCTATTGAAATACAGTGCAATCCTATGGGGTGCGGCGCTTCCGTGTGTGCTGCGCATGCGGCAGCGTGGCGGCGGCACTTGACGCAAGATCATTGCCAGATGCCGCTGATAGATCGCGACGAGGTCAACAGCCACTGCCCATGTATTGCGCACCAATTTATTTATTTGATTGACTGTACCACTCCGCCGCAAAATATACTTATTCACTGGGGTCAAGGGGATGAACAAAGTCTATAACAAACAAGTTATGATAATGATCACAATATAGGTGTAGGTTACAACACAACCCTCCTCAGAATGTTGCAATCAATTGTTATGTATAGGTACTTAACTTTACATCTCATTATGCTCGAAACTAAGTAAAGATTGGGCTTTATTAAGGAAATAATTTACAGCAATTTATTATAGTAACACACGACTAAAAATGTGTTGCACTTTAAAGTTAGACAACAATAAACAAAATATCGCTTCCTGATCTCATGACGACAACGAGAATTAACATCACTGCGAATTGCGTGGAATGTTATGATGACACACGAAAAGCAATATCTGTAATTCAGATTGATTTATTAAACATAATGTGGTAGAATAAATTGGGGAAGGATATTACACAGCATGAATTCGGAAATAAAAGTGAAAATTTGTAACATTACTTTTATAAAATTCAAGATAATATATAAGATACCACCGAGAAAATATAGTATTTCGCTGGAAAACTATATATAAATCATTATGAAAAAGCTTCTGACAAACGATAAACAGTTTACAACCTGTGTAGGTGATTCCCTTAATTATTTGACAGGCACCATCTCAAAATAACAAATCAATCAAGAAGACTAATTTTCAGAAACGCAAATTGTCAAAAGAGCAATTATTCGATACATTAAAACTTGTAAATATTTAATTTTAAGTGCTTCATTTGGGTGCGAATATTTCGGATCAGGTACATCCTACTAAAGAAGAACATATTCAAGCATGGTTACACGATTTTTGTTCTGGAAAGTGTCTAGTCCGTGACGAACTAGTCGTACGCCTGGTGGTAAGCGACTCGCCTATTCATAACAGTTCCAGTGCCACTCAGAGATTTACATCACAAAGATCTGAGCTGTGCCCGTCACCCTGGGACATAGTTGACAATACCCATGTGCCTGTAATTTCTCGAGCACCATTACCCTCCAAACCGGAACGCAGTAATGCTCACGAATTACCTCTCGGCGGCAGAAATAGGTAAGGTGGCAGTACTTTCCTGGACGAACTCTTTCACAAGGAGCTCTACAGCTACCGAAAGTTCGCTGATGTATCGTGTGGAAATCATGTCACACTATAATATGACATGAGTACTATAGCACTCAAAATTGTTCTAGAATGCTCGATGTGTAGCCCTATCAATAATGTATACCTACTTTGATTAAACGAAAAGACTTGGCAAGATTTCTGTTATGATAAAAAATCATTCGTCTCCCGTGTCGTGTCATTATGTTGATCTTCCAAATGTAAAGTGTAATTTGTCTTTCACTTTCTCGTTTTACTTACAACGAATACAAAAACTAGGCAACGGTCGTTTAGGGATTAATTAACATTCCACCACGATACTTCAAACTCCATTACTTTAGTCATCTATTTTACTGGCGACAAATATGAATATGAAGCAACGTGTTGGTTTTAAGAATTTTAAAAGTCTCATCTTTTTGTAATACCAGGTGACGAGACGAACAAGTCGTGCGCCTGGTGGTAAGCGACACGTCTATCCATAACCGTTGCAGTGCCACTCAGAGCTTTTAATCACAAAGATCTTAGGGGCACTGCCACTGTGCCCGTCACCCTGAGACATAAGTTGCAAGTTCCGAATGCCTGTAATTTCACTAGCACCCTTACCCTTCAAAACCGGAACGCAGTAATTCTCACATTACTGCTTGGCGGCAGAAATAGGTAAGGTGGCAGTACTTTCCTGGACGAACTCTTTCACAAGGAGATCTACTGCTGCATTCGAGTAAGGGAATCACCACATTTATCGACACGTCAGAAAAATCTTTATGTCCAATGGACACTGTCCACGTAATAAAAGCGAAAATGACGTAGTGCGTTTCGCATCGTTTCAACGCGCAACCGTTTTTCTTAATAAATGTGGTGACTCCCTAATGTAGCTTCCCATTAGGTGCGGACAAGTCAATAACGGGGTCGAAACGTATGCATAAATAATTCAAACTTAAAAGTGGAGGCTTGAGGGTTCTCCATAGATTATACACGAGTGCTTTCACTTTCTCGAGTGATAAAGGGACTCAAGGCCGTGTGTGGTATTTGGAACATGTCAAAGTCTCCCATAATCTTAACGCGATAAAATTAAATTTTAAGTCTCGCCCACTTTCATATGCCTGCGCTCGCAATAATAACCACTGATTATTTAAGTCAAATCAATTATGAAAATTGAAAGTCACTGTAATGATAGCGTCGGAGCTGTATCAATAGAAGTAGCTTTGAATAGACGGTTTGCTCATACAAGCTATTGAACTAATGGATAAGGCCGGACCTTGATCTGGTTGACATCACATTGGTTCTGGAACTATACACGACCCGTATCTACTTGAATACTAATTGCAACTACATACATATGACTATATTTAACAATTTAAATATTTTTAAATTCTAATGGTTACCTAAAGTTTGAAAACCAATCGGGGAATCCATATTTTTTTCAAACTTAGAATTTGTCATTAGTAGGTACAGGGTCAAGAGCACGTCAAGCCAAATCCAACTCCATGGCGCTTACGATAAGAAAAGCCCAAAGTACAAAGTGTCAAGCTTGATGTGCTCTTGACTGTACATCACCAGCTAAAATATTTATTTGCAAAGTTTCTTCTTCTACATTTATTACAGGTAACTACATGAGACTTATGTCTTAGGGTGACGGGCGCAGTGGCAGTGCCAGTGCCCCTCAGATGTTTGTGATTTATAGCTCTAAGTGGCACTGCAACTATTATGGCGTCCCATCACTTGGTATAATAATAAAAATAAAATAATCTACATTAATTCACATTTACGACGCTGACACATAGCCGCTCACAAAGGAATACATGGATGAAACTCGCACAGGACCGATTCAGCTGGCGAGCAAAAGAGCAGGCCTATACCCAGTAGTGGGTGTTAACGGGTTGAGATGATGATCACGATTCAGATTTATATATACAGATATCCTACTAAATTTAGCAAATTTTACGCTACGTACTGTTTAAAAATGCGTTTTTAAATCAATTACAAAACCGGAAATTTCAATGTTTCAAAAATATTACGCCTTAATTTGCCTGGATGTTCTAACTCGAATTTATTATTATTTACAGGTGTCTGCGATGTGGTACTTGTGGACCGCGTTACTGGTGGTGTCGTGCGCACTAGTGTCGGCGGGCGGGGCGGGGGAGCGGCCAGCGCCGGCCACGACCCGCGCGCCGCCTCGCACCCTCGACCGGCAAGCCGCCGAGCTCGCCTGGCGCACCTGGTTACAAAGCCCCGAAAGCAACAACCAGAACGCTCCTCCAAGACGAATCATCACCAAGTCATTGTTCATTACTCCTCTTGTCTGCCCTAAAGGACAGAGGCTTGATGGGAAAGATTGCGTAGAGGTAATTTTTCCTTCTTTTCTTCTCTTACAATCGCGACACCCTACGTTACAAATTTCTTGTGATCTAAATTTAAGACCCAAACTATTGCCGGTGAGTGAGCCATTCATTCCTTTGCAAAACTTTTTCAATGACCTACTTCCACGATGTGCTCCCACTGTTCTATCTTATGTAACAATAATAAGATTAAAAAATTAAGAAATAAAATTAAATTAGAGATTTCGATTTTTTAGACAACACTACGAGTGTAAGTTCATAAATACAGTGACTATTTCCATTCCAGGTTTTGACGGTAGACAAGTCGGAACACGAGCGTCTACTGTTGAATCAACTGAACGCGTTTTTCACGGCATCTCCTGGCGCTGATGTGGTGTACGATTACGGAGAAGACGAGCCTGGACCGCTGCAGCTCTCTATCCCCATAAACCTAGAAGCGCAGGCCGCTCCTCTACACGGACAAGAGCCATCCGCACAGGTATACCTGAATTTAAATTGTTTATCGGTAACAAAAGCTAATGTTAACATACCTACCTAAATTACTCTACTCGTAAAATATTGTATATTTTTAAGACATGTTTTATTTATTTGCAGGCTCAAGAGCTGCACGGTAACTATGTCAAAGTTGACAAGAAAGAAAACACGAACCACGATATCGGCACTTCTAGCCTAGAAGCCGAACTAGAACTTCTACAACTACAACACTCTCAACACATTCAAAATGACACTTCAGCTGAAGGCATACTTAATCATAACGTATTGCTGCCTTTCGACAAACCCAAGCGTAACAGCCCCGTGGACAATTCTACCGAAGTAATCGACAACATTGACAACGGAGAAGGACAAAAGGAAGTCGTTTTTGGACATGTTAATATTGACCCTGTGCTTCTTTACACCGAACCTACCACAGAAACTGCAACAGAGCAAACTACGATTACTGATGCGGTCAGTGAACAAGGGACTGAAGTACCCACAGTTCTAAACAATGCAATTTCAGTTAACAACTCAAACGAAAACAGCAACAACACTAATGAAGTTCCTACAGAGATGCCGACAACTTCCGAAATTTCTAATTCAACATCACTAATTTTAAAGAAGGAAAGTGACAAAACCAAACTGAACCCTGAAAATGACTACGCAGACATAGGCGAGGCTATCAAACTGATAAGCCGATATGCAGAAGTGACGACCGATGATAATTTCCCTAAAGATCAGAAAAAATATGCAATAAAGGACGATAATATATTAGGCACTCGCACTAAACTTCAATATCGCCGCAATAAACCGAAACCTTTCGAAAAATTCATAAGACCTGTTGCACAATCACCCATTTTGGAATTTGCCAATAGCGAAAAAGTGCCACTGCAGTACGGTAATGGCGGCTTTTATCCTAAAAATGATGTTTACTACAGATACCCTTGGCAAAATCTGTATTCGCCTACACCACCTCCCGATTATCCATTTAAACATATCCAGGACTATTGGCCAGGTCAAAATCATGTGGGCGGTGTTTACAACATCGTACATGAGAATCCTAGGCGACACCATCATAGCTACCCTCATTACTTCAGACCTCACAGTTTTCCATACGCAAAGTATCCAGAATCTTACCAGGGATTACAACAGATATACTCTGGAAAACTTCAGCCGCTTACCCGCAGAACAATAGACCTTACTCACCAAAGCGGGACGTTGCAATCTCAGGCCAACAACCAAGATCTTTACAGTCTCCTAGGTTTGAGGCACTGGTTCAGCAGTCAAGGGTCTTCGAAAAGATAGCCTGTTTCTCCGGTATTAGAAAATTCGATGTTACCCGACGATATATAATGAAAGCTATGGGAAAATTTACATTACCATTAATTATTACA